CCCTGTCCAGTCTATCATCAATGGGCATTTGGGTTAGTTCCAGGTCTTTAGCAACCTTTGTTTAAGGTTTTTTTCATTTACTTAACATAGAGTGGTTGAGCATCTCTTCTATGCCAGGCACTGTGCTGGATTCTGGGAATGGAGTTACAATGGTAAAAGAGATACAGCCCTTCCCCAAAGGAAACATGAAATACAGTGTGGGATATAGACCACTAATCAGATAACTATAATATGTTGTATTCTGATGGGGGCATGCAGGGTGTGATGGGAATATGGGCAGTGAGGGTGGGACATATACCCAGATTTAGGAAGAGTGAGGAATGCTTCTTGGAGGAAGTATTGAATAAACTGGGACCTAAAGTATTAGTGTGAATTAACTAGTTGAGGAGAGGGTCAAGGAACAAGGGAAAAGAAAGTAGAGTGTTTCAGGCAGAGAGCTGTGTGAACAGCATGAGCAAAATCCTGGAGGTGAGAGAAAGAAAGGCTGAGACATCGAAAGAAACCTGTTTTCTATCTTTTGTGAAATTTAGCCCTTAGAATAGTGGCTGGCACAGAGTAAGTGCTGAGAAATATCAGAAATTATTACTGTGCCTAGAGCATAGAATTGAAGGTGAGTGGGGAAGAAAAGGCTACACAAGTAAGCAGAAGCCAAATTACAAAGTCCTATAAACTATGATACTAAGCATTTAGACTTAATCTAAGTCACTGGCAAACCACTCATAGATTTTAAATAGTGGAATGAACTTCGTGCATTTTAGAAGGATGGGCTGAGACTAGCAGCAGGGAGATGAGGCAGGAGACTACTGTAATCATAGTCTCAATGTGTTAGAGACAGTGGCAGTAGAGAAACACAGATGGACTTCAGAACTATTTAGAAGGTAGAAAATCAGTTTCCTATGACTACCATAACAGATTACTACAAACTTCATGTCTTAGAATTTATTCTTACAGTTGTGGAGGCCAGAAGTCTGAAATCAGGGTGTCAGCAGAGTTGGAAATACTTGTTCTTTGGCCTGTAGCAGCGTCACTCCAGTCTCTCTCTCCAGCTTTATAGGGATCTCCACGTGGCATTCTCCCCATGTCTGTGTCTCACATTGCCCTCTCCTTTCTTGTTTAAGGACACCAGTCATTGGATTTGGGACCCTCCCTAAACCAGGATAATCACCTCTCAAGATCCTGAATCACATCTACAAAGACCCTCCTTCCTAGTAAGATCACATTCACAAGCAGTGGGGGCTGGGACTTTGACATATCTTCTTGGGGGGATACAATTTATCTCACAGCAATATAATTTTTTTTTTTTTTTTTTTTTTTTTT